TAACAATAATTTTATCACGAAAAATAGAAAAATCTTAAAAATATCTAAAAATGATTATTGGCTCTCTCTTAAAATAATGTAGTTATTGTGGGAAGAGCTGTTCTGGTTCCTCAATTGTTGACAAAATATCACAGAATTTTAAAGTTATGAACATAATATTTTGGGTTTCTATTATTAATTTATTATTAACCTAACTTTTTAATTATAACAGATTAAATAAATTGTCAATTTGTTTAAAATTAAATCTAAAGTGTTGTTTTATAGGTACTTCACTAATGCATACAACATTTTTCGAATAAGTTATAACAGTCACAATTACTGACAATAATTGCTGCAGTTTGTTTATAATATATTATATTATGAATAATTTTGATTCATAGTAGTTTCACTGAACAATGAAACCCGGTTTAAATATAAAAAGACACTTATAAGTTTTAGTGTAGTACCTACTTATTCATTCGAGATTGAGTAATTAACAAGACAGGATGTGTATTTATCATTTATCATTTGTTCGATAAAATGCTATAATCATTTCAAAACTATGAGCAATAAGTACCTTCCTTACAACAAATTTGCATACATAAAATTAATCAATGCAACGATAATACTCATAAATTATATTTATAATACATTAGGTAGGTATACGTATTAGTTGTATAGGTATATATATACATATTTTTATTACCTTTATCGTACCTATGTTTATTTTTTTCTCAAACAGTTGCATTCGAGTAGAAATTAGTCATCTTTTGTGAAGTAAAATGATCCTAGTAATGTTCAGCAAAACAAATACATTCGAAATTTAAATAAAACCAATCAGTTTATGCAGTTAACAATCATTAATCCTTTTAAACTTGCGTCATATAATTGATGTCTGATTAAAAAAAAATAAGAATTTTTAAATCAAATTGTGTTTATATAATAGCGTAAAGAAAAATAATTACGAAATCTACGAGGGAAATGTATTATACAAACGATTAAGATCTATAAAATTAAAACATTAACATTAAATAATAATTGCACGAGGTAATWGGTGCACGTAACGAAATGCGTTACCACATGCCAATTCTAATTATTTATACGGATGATTTAAATACAATTATACATTCGGATACAGGATTAATTGACATTTATAATATTATAATGTATACATAGCACCTAAGGTCTGAAAGACATAAAATACAGAACTAAATAATTAAATCGAATACAGGTAACCGTTTTTGGGAGAATTGCATTAAAGATGTCTGGTACGACTCTGGTGTATAATATATAGGTATACATAATACATCGTTTAATTGGTAGGCACAGGCGCTATATGCCTGGCATAAACTTAACCAGAGTCATAATGTATATTATGTCTAGCTTAAATTCAGGTAAATGGAAGTTTAAAGGCTTACCGAGTATAATTGGCTTACAATTCCAGCGCAACCATATTATCAGCAGCCATAGGCCATAGCCATATAATATATTATTATTATTATAAGGAACCTCGTCGTTTTGTAAGTAATGAATTTAACCGGAATAAATTTGTGATACTAATTGCAAAATGTACCACACTAAGGACAATTTATTATTATTGTATAAAATCGAATTATTTGCACGTGTCTATATACTGCAACCTCAGCGTATGTGCATATTTATATACGCACGTTACCTCTGTAGTAAAATAAAATAAATTTATTTTATTTTTATTTTTATTTGAAAAAAAAAAAAATACTTTTAGCTTTAAGCTGTTAAGTTATAATTCTGCACACCTTCTATAAGTTTTACTTGAGTTGGAGGTATATTTCAAAAAATTAGGTTTGTACATCTCGTATACATACGTCGTTCAAAATGTTCATGATTCAATATAATACTAGACATTAAGGATTTTAATATAATTTAACAATAACAATATATAATGTATAAGACGAACAATTATTWCGCATTATATAGATTAACATGCACAACCATAGATCAACTTCAGTATGGAATGCTTATAATGATGATAATTCCTAAATAGGTTAATATTATTTTTTAAATATTTAAATATCAGCTAAGTTAAGCTAGCTTCTGAGACCATACRTTTTTTGACACTTAAGCAAAGCTAAATTTATATTATTCTTAAATTTGGTATTTAAATCATAATTACAAAATAAGATAATTTTTTTATGCTTGTATAATAACAGTGATAAWCATTTWAAAAAAATCTATCAATACTAAGATTATTATAAACAAAATGTGTGTTAGTACCTACCTATTACTAGCAAATTTTTATATAAATCGAATTAATTTATTAATCGCTATTTTAGATAGTTTAGATCAACGGTCGGCAACTGGTGGATCGCGAAAGGTAGATAACTGAAACGTAAACATGATATCTTACAGTTATTTTGTCTTCATTTACTTATTATAAAAATATAAAGATTTGATAATTTTTTTTTTCTCTGGACCTTGTTTATTCATTTTTTTAATTTTATGGACTCGAACCGAAATTACTTTCAAGCCCATGGCTTAGATGAATATCATACGTGGATCCTAAGATTTCTATACAATAGGAGATAATTGACCGTATTAGTGAAATATATTATATTATTCTTAATTTTTTATTCGTATTAATAAGATGATAAATTATATAAATTATAAACCGACAACAATATAAACATAACACGTATAAAATGTATTAAATGAAACAGTTATTATTATTTAAAATCGAATTATATTTTGCGTCACGTATAAGATATAATAGTACGCATATAATTATATAAAATAGTATAATACATAATTATATAAAGTATTAACAGACATGGGCGAGGAGGCCTACCGGGAAACCGGACATTTATTCCTRGTGGGCCCCCCTTTGTATTTCGGTATGGGGCCCATTAATATCATGTATTATTAAATTTTTGTTTCACGTGGGGGTTCCATTTTAAAATTTTCCGGTAGGCCAAAAATGTCCTATCCACCCATGTTAACAAATATAAWCACARATATAATATGCGAATTTAGTTGGGACGTTTAAACTCATCGTAAAATACCTACACACTGYTGAATATCCTATATTCCTATCACATGACGTGTCCTATAAGCTTTATATTATAATACGACCTTATAACAACATTAGGTTAGGATAGGTATTGTTCATTAATACTACTACAGAGATTTAAAATACTTTGCAATTAACTTAGGTACTATTTTATARTAATAAATAACACAATGGTCCCGGTTAACAATAAAAAAATCCTAACCTAACTCGGTGTGMGTCCGGTTGAAATTCAACCTATGTAATATAACAATATTATGCTGTAAAAAATAGTGTTTTAATCAAAAATAGGTATACATATATTATTATTATYAAAAAAAAATATTAGTGCAGGCGAATACACGAGCCAGCGCAGTAATGTGAAACCAAATGTATATTTTATTTATTTCTTCGGCGTGAATAAAATATCTAATAAAGATTTCAATCGAATTTTATTGCATTTTTTCAATACAATGTGTAGTCTTGTGAAGCATAATATTATTGGGTATGGTAATCCAACTTTACTTTTTGAGTCGTAAAATGTGTTTAAAATGTACAACGATCCGCATTTGATTAAAGCGTATTATGGTAGTCGTATAGATTCTTATAATTAAATGCCAATGCAAAATATTCGATTTATTGTCACTTGGCTGGTTAGGTACAACTGTTATATAATAATATCACATTGAAACGAAACAAATTCGTTAGTGACCTTTTTAGAAACTGAACACACGGCCAAAACTATTAAAATGCTTTTTACTAATAAAACAGTGTGACGTTTTTAGTATAATATATACAACGCTAATAGCTATTATTTTCGTATAATTGCAACGTTAGATTGCCGTGAGATTAAGAGTAGATACCGACACAATGAAATATATTATTATTAAAGTTCCGACGCGGAATAATGAGAGTAGAAATTACATTGGGCGCACAATGCACATGACCCTAATAAATTCGATCGGTGCTCACTTTCTTCTAAACACCTGCTGCAGTCATTGCTCTCCGTCGGTACTTTGATAGTGACGGAGTTTAAACCTCCGCGTTGTCACGGTTATCAACCACCGTCGATTGGGCTGTTATCAATCGCGGTGTTCGATAATCATTGACTGAATAATTTTGTTATCATCAGTTTGAATTATTACATTATCATAAAAATCGAACAAGCATTATGTTATATTGTACACTCGAGAGAAACTATGCACAATTTCGGGTGTAGGTAGGTACATTAACCATAGACGTGTGCGGGTGGACGGTCGGGCCGGGCAAAAGAGAATCGCGTAAAACCTGTACCGCCGTTTCCTCCGGCAGCGGCGGCGGCGGCCTGGAATGTATGTATAATATATGATACGTGATATGAAACCGAACAACATGCCAGGGAATAATCGTCGTCGCTTCCCAAACTCAATGACGAAACCGGAATCGACCAGAACGATAATAATATAATAAAATAATATTCGAATCGACCAACATCATCGCCGTCGTTGTAATACGTTCGATCGCCTTATCACACCCGCCGGTAAAATATTAATAATATTGTATTACCATTTGTCATATTATTATCGGTACGAGACGAAATAACTGGGCGTTCATAAAGTGTTACGATTAATCATTCAAAATAATTATACAAACGTCGGAATAATTTTTTTCTTCGTCGATCTTCTGGAAGCGTGCTGATAACATATTATTAATATTATTTTCAAAACGCGGTGCGAATGTTATTACTCATAAAAGGGCTATAGGAAATGTGCTTTTTAGTACATCCCCCATATTAAAATAAGTGGGTAAATAATAATGGGCGAACCGGCCGGTTGTTATCACTAAAATATTCCAGTATCGCGGACGACTGAGCAACAGGTGGCGCAGGTGTGCGCGTTATCAGTGGTGGTTGTCTGCGGAATGCGACGGCGGCGGCATCGCCGTCGTCGTGTCCATACGCGTTTTATCGTTTGTAATATTCTATTAATACTAATATTATTTATTATTGCTGCTGTCTTACCTGACTTAGGTCGGAAGCCGTGTCCATGTTTCGTCCGGACGTATGACGGAAACACCATGAGTCATGACAGCGTCTGCTAGGCGCCCTCGTGTGTGCGTTTCTCGTGTGTATTTGATCGTCTTACGGCGGCGACGTGCGAGTGATAATTACCAAGTATATTATTGTGTTATGCGTTATTACCGCCGTTGTCACCGAAAACTCAAAAATCAAATAAAATGTGAAAACATACGGCCAACGGTCGTCGATTAGTATTGTTATTATTTACTATAATACTTATTATTGTTACATCGGTGCCGGCCGAGCGGCGTAGTGCCCACTATATTATATACGCACGCGCGAACTCGTATCGCGAGAGAATAAAGAAACGACGGACAGCCGCGTCGTGTCGTGTTTTGGGACGCACTCGGCCGGTTGGTAGCGACTAGCGAGACTGCCGATGCACACGCTCAACTCGCACACTCTCGGCCATAACCAGTCCCTCTCGGCAGTTTACACACACACACACACACACGGCGCTGGTCGGTAGGTATATACACGCGGGCGGTACGGTAGTGATATTCAGGCCATACCCACTCCACGGTACACATTATTATCATAATACACAAGTGTGTGTATGTGAGTGTGTGAGTGCGACTGTATGTGTGTGTGTATGTGTACTCGAGTAAATATAATAATATATGAATATTCCGCTTAACCCAAATATATAATATTATATTATAATATTATTATACGCGTATTTCACTGCCGAAAAATATCTCGAGTGCGTTCGCCAATGGTATTATAATTTATACGCACCTCTTGTAGGTAGATATTTACCCATTATAATATTATGAATTTAAATATAATATTATAATTACCTATTTATACCGTTTATGTACGGCATTAATATATTATTATTATATTATGTACCTAACTTAAGATATGGGTAACGGCCTTGATCGGTTTTACTGTTAGAAGATTTGGCTGGAGTATCGAGAATGTTAATTTTGACGATCTTTGATATGAGCACTTCATCATAGTTGTACCATTTTTGAAATACGTTTTGTATTCCCTGTGACGTTTATCAGTGCGATGATAAATGGGAGTGTGATAAAATAACGAAGAACAAAAAAGCGTTAAACGGGGTTAAGGATATAGGTGTAATTGATAAAATCGAACTGATAAAAAATTCGAACTCGAGTTTTTACCCCAAAATTTAAATAATATGAGTAAATTTAACTATGACATGACCAGAGACCGTCGTCCTCATGCTTTTTACAGAATATAGACAGACGTCTTTACAAAGCAAACCTACCTTTTTTAATAAACGGTGCGTATGATGAGTATAAGTATATACTACTTTAAAAGTTAATAGACCACATAATACCATGGGGGCCCCGTATCAACTATTTACACAGTTAAATTTATTTACATAAACTATCGGTTTGATCAATGCATACATATACTTGGTTGTTTTTAATGGCAAAAAACACCTGCCAAATGCTTTCCAATTCCGGTGTATTTTTTTAAAGAATTAAAAAATATTAATACATAGGTTCTTACAAATTCTATCCTTTTTTTTTTACTATAGCAGATAAATCATCTACTTTTAAATCGCCTAAATTATTGTTTTATGGACTCTGAGTGAAATGATTTTAGTTTAATAAATGTGTGTTAGAATATTTATGAACTGTAATAAAATATATTTTATTTTCAATTTTGTTAACAACCAGCAAATTGAATTTTTATTCGGTACTTTAGGGAAGTGACTAAGGTATAAGAATACCAGCACTTTTCCAATACTGGGGAAACAACTAAGAAAAAAGGGAATATTCATACACTTTTTGTTTGTCGTAATTCAAAAACGCATAACCAGCAGATAGATACTTGTAAAAATTATATTGGCTTTTACCAGAAATAATATTGTTTCTGAGACATATTGACTATTTGTAACTATTATGCATAACATGGTCTACATAATATTTTTATGTTTTATTTATTAATTTAATAATTATGACTTCGCAATTTAAAATAAGATTAATCATTATTCGTTCTAATTAAATCACATTAATTTTTTATAAGTTTTGGGAATTAAATTTTTTTGAAATTAAATGTTCAAATGTCAAATTACGATTAAATGCTTTTAAACTATACATGATATTTGTTGTTATTCAATAAAATTATAATCAATTAATTGTATCGTAGTAACTTCTTTTTCATTAATCAAAAAATGATACAAACGGCTCGATATTATTCATAATAAAAAAGTTATTTTTTCAGTGTTTTTAATTTTTTAACTTGGTCTAAAGATATACCAATATATTTTTTACCCTATAGTATAGGTATATGTATAGTCTATACTTACCTACTAACAAACTACAAATTATAATTGAACGATTAAAGAGAATAACTACAAAATAGGTATCTAAGAATATTGAAATTATAGTGAAAACATAAATATTTCTTTTATAAGTTTCTTTTTTAAGTTTTCTTTTCATCAATTCTAAAATTAAACATAACGCTCAATCTTTTAATCAATAGAAAGATCTCAATTTTTTTTTTTTCTAATTTTATTAGAACGAAAACAAAAATACGAAGCTTATAACAATTCTATTCTTACTACAACAAACTATAAAAATATTATTTCAATTATTTAATGTGTTAACTGTTCATTTGTTATAATACAATATATGGTTTAAGATTGTTACTTTTCATTATATTTTGTATTACAATAGTAATCCACACAATGTCGTAACTAAAACCTACTGAATGAAAAATTGAATTTTTTTTGTCCTTAATATCACTCCAAATCTCGTACATTTTGTAGGTAGGTACAACTTATTACATTATAACATATAATACACACATAAATATTTCTGCGTATTATATTTAAAGTAGGCAGGTACATCGTTTATATAATAAGAGTTCTTCTATAAATCTAAATAAAATCTCTATGGTCGTAATCCGTGCTTGAAAAATATATACAACACAATGTAATATAAGCGTAATATATATTTTATTCCGACTTACAAATTATACGATCAGCGATCACAATAATTTTATTTCTATTCACATATATCGCACATTCTTATTGGGAATATTATAATGACAAAAATGAAAAATCGTAAATTCATTTAATCTTAACGTTTATGTATCAAAATCCATATAATCCACAAAATTATTATTAATCAGAATGTAATCTGCATAATATAATATGAATACATGATTTTATTTTGGTTTTATAATAATAATTTACTGTAATGATTCATTAATCTGTCATTATCATGGTGTACTGTGGATGATGAGTCAAGGACATACTTGATCATAATTGTTATTTTATTGATTAGTACTTACTTTATTGGAACACACAAATCGTATATGGTACCTACATTAAATATTATTTATTAGTAATTGAAATTATAGGATATTCGGTTTGAAAACTAAAAAACGTTATACATGTATAATTAAAAAATAAATCGAAATTAAATTATTTTCTTTTTTGTTTTCATTGTATTGCAATTTACATTTATAATTTCGATTATTCATTGTTAATTTATAGACATCTAGTTTTATAACTCCCATTAATTATTGCACTCTAATTGATATCTTTATTAAATCGTTGAATACTCGCATTATGATAACAATATTATAATATTCCCATTTCCCAGCACGTAAGCATGGTCTAGATTTTGAATATCATGATAAAATCGAAAAAAAAATGAAAATTAATTGTATTCAAAAACTGTACTATAACTACTAGTTAGTTTGAAATATTATCATCAACTAAAATTCTCGGTCTGTTTCTTTTTTTTAATTAACGAAAACGGAATTAACTGGTTACAACGTCTGAATAATAACACATTGGCACTTCCGTAATAGAATGCGTTTTGCGCGAAATCCATATTGTTTAAACGCATCCCACGCACCTCTCCTACAGTTTACACTCCTTCCTAACCACACACGTAAAAAAAAAACTAGAAGTTTCGTAAATAGATAATATGTTGATGTCTACATGTATATATATATATATATATATATGTATATAAGTATATATTTATATAGTGAGCATGTTTATGTTTGTATAACATGTAAACCACAGGCGATTGTTTATTTTTAAATAAACAAAATTTGACTGTGATCCGTTGTACCTAATCTAACCTATAGCGAGAACATAAAATAATATTATAGGTAAGCGCAATTCTTATTTTTTTTTCATTTTTTATTACTCCACTAAACTCAAATCACCGTGTTATACGTAACCGCGCACGGTACCACTGTTCCGGGCTTATATAAAATTGTTGGCTAATTATTACCTCGGTTTCGTATAAAATAACTATACAATAAATAACCCAACGTCTGCAGCTATTCAATTTTAACGGAATTCGGTATTTGATTGATAATAATATTATATATATACATTGATAGACTATGTACATTGATCACCCGCGGGCTACTGTAGGATAGCCTATGATTAAGATTTAACCTGTTATTTTATAGTTGACCTCAACACATCATCGCAGATATTGTCATAACAAACGACTTAAACCCTATTTCAGGAATTTTTGACCCTCAGTAAAAATATAATTTCTTTTTGATTCAAAAAATTATATACCTAATACTAATGCATACGCTGTTTAATAGAATTAATAATTTTTGACGGTAGATATATTCAAAAACTATAATTTACAATGATTCGATMACAGTAAGTACATTAAACAAAAATCAATTGTTGTACAAATAAATTGTTTGAACGTATCCTTACTGAACTAAAAGCCTGGACCATGAAAGTATCTTAATTATTATCGTTAATCTTTAGATGTATTACATATTGTTGTATACTCTGTATTTTTGTAAATAGATCAATAACTGCCCACAAAGCGCCCACCTTATAATATATCATTAGTAGATATTATACTCTTCGTTTGCGGGATAGGTATTATATTATTTTAATAGATACCGATTACCGACACTAGAGGAATTTAGGTTATTAAAAGTATTACTATTAATAAATTATTGTCAACACTACGCGTGCTCGTTTAACTTTCGATTCGTATGTCCTCATACTCTATGAGTTTTGGCAAAGTTTGGTACAACAAAAAATATTTACTTTCAATAATCTTTATTACATACTGCTACTATATTAATTATACAATTTATTGTATATTCATTTATATATAGATTTCCTCTGGGATTATAATTAATGATTGAATGCAATGACTTTTTTTTATTTGAATATAAATCTAAAGACATATTGTATTGTTATAGAAAATTTTATTATTATTGATGGCTGTAAAAATTAAATACTTACCTAATACAGTAATACGAAGGTACTATATATAGTATGATGAATATTTAATTGTTTTCATCCATTCTTTTTAAAAGTATATAAATTATTATAGTAATATGATTATTATTTTATATACTCTACAATAATTTATTAGCAATTTAGATGAATTACAGAATCAAACTATAAATCTTAGTTCAAAATAAC